CCCAGCGCTTGAAGCCTTTTGTTGGCGCCTGTGACTCCTGCTCAGGCCTCCTCAGCTACCGTACGAGCAGCTGCCAGATGCCTGTGAAATGTGGGCTTGGTTCCTTCAAGAGGAGATAGTATCTCCGTCTAGCCATGCTTCTTGATCCGTTTGATGCTATTAACTAGTAACGCTGCTATCTTTTGTGACATTTTGTGGTTTATCTCCCGCGCACCTTTGTTTACACAAACCACAAAAGAGCTGCTGGAGAAATTGTTCCCTTTTCTCCCTGTTACCTTAATGTGAGAGGAAATTGCGGCGGGGGAAGGAGGGAAGAAATTCATGCCTGTGGTGTATGTTTGCTTCTCCACAGAGGGGGGCTGGTTTTTGGTGCCCCCTTTCTCCCTTCTTTCCTCATCTTTTCCAGGAGCACTGCCTTGTACTCTGATCCCTTTGATGCAGAAATAAGGATGCAATACTTGCCCATCACCCCCTGTTATTGGTGCTCAAGTCTTACAAGAGAGAAATATCAGGCAGTTTTGTACCCACGGGGAGATGGTGGGCTGTATTTTTATCCCATAAGTGCCTGTTGGGTAGAAGGGATGCTCCCAACTGGGCAGTTCTTGTGGAGAGGGGGTTGATCCCTCCAGGATGAGGAGCCAGGAGGGAGCTGTGAATTCCCATGAGGTGAGTATCTTAGTTCGTGGGTGGTTCTCAGCCCAGCACGCTGCATGTAGGCTGGCTTGCCCTGGGCTGCTGGGGTGGCCCCGCTGGCAAGGGTGGCTGATGCAGTGCGTTTTCCAGGCTCAGCAAAGCCTGTCACTTGTTTAATAACTGAAATATAGTTATGAAGTGTCATTTGGGGTTCTTGACTTCTCATCATTCCTTTTTTAGTGGGTTCTTAGGCAGTTTTCTGAACATGACTGTTTCAGTTTTAGTGATGATAATGTCACAACTTGAGACAACTGAGGCTAGTGCTGCTCTCATCTGTTTTCAGGTTATTTGGTGGAGAAGTCATCACTCCATGCACCTAGCAAAGCCTGAGTCTGTGTTTTACTTCAGAGATGTTCATTTGATCAGACAAGAAAGAAGAAACCCCCTCGCCCCTTAGGCAGAGCTGGAGAAAAGGGCTTTTGTCAGGCAGGAACAGGCAGGTGCTGGGGAGAGCTGCAGCCCACGGCCCAGCTGGTCTGCAGCCAAACACTACTTTGTAAGAGCTATCCAAAATCCGCCATGCACCTGGATGTAGGGGAAGTCCTCTGTTTGCTTACCGCGGGGTGATGTCTGTGGGTGTTCGTGTTCCCCAAAAGCACCGGGGTTATAGGTGGGAGCAAACGCCCAACCAGGTGGGTGGTGGAGCTCCATGGGGCTGCAACTTTCTCTCTGTAAACAGGAGCGCTGCCGTTTTGTTTGTCTTTCCAGCGTTCTGGGGGAAGGGGAAGCGGAAGATAAGGTTACATCTGTCCTAAATCCATGACTTTTTACTGAGGTTAATATCGGCAGCTGAACACATCTCTTTGCTATGTAAAGAGAATAGCTTAATAATTCAAGGAGACTCCTTGTACCGACACATGTCTGCAGTTAGTGCTGTGGCTGCCAGTGGGGTGTGAGGAAGCTGGCAATGCTGCTGTCTACAGAGGTATTAAAAACAAACAAAAAAAAAGAAAAGAAGAAAAAAAAAGGCACATTGTCAATGAAAGTGCTTTTTTCTCTTTTTTTATTTTTAAAGGTGAACTCTCAGGGTGAAAGATGCCAAGCTGAAAGACACAGACAAAGAATTTCTTTCTTTTGCAGGCAAATAGATGTACAGGTTCTAAGGGTGAAATTCTCAGTTTCCTCCCTAAATTGCCCTTTCCTGAGTGCAGGGGTGGTTGCTGCCCTATCAGAATTGGGGGTTGTTCTGGGGCTTTCCATCTCTGGAAGTGGCTGATGACCACTCAGGTGCACGCGGGAGCAGAGAGGGGAGCGCAGAGAGGCGGAGGAGGAGGGTTAGCAATGGGAGAAAGTGCCTCACAAAGCAGAAGGAGAAGCTTAGGTGTAGGTGGAAGTTACAAGGACCTGGCGGCCTAACTGCTCCCGGGTGGTTTCTGCTGTTGCTGCTTCTCAGATGCCTTTTCATTCTTAATTCTCTGGGCAAACGGGGGCGCTTTCAATGAGAGTTGTTTTTTAAGGAAAAAAGATTTCAAAGCGAGCTAGCTTCACGCGTTCACTGTAGCAGAGATGTGTATAACGTATGAAAGATTCCTGTAAATCAAGTGGTGGTGTTTCTTGTAATCGCTGAGTGCGGAGAAGTCCAGATCCCTAACATTGTGTGTTTCCTGAGCTCAGTATCGATGCAGTCTGACCTGTGGCAATTGTTTGAGGCTTCTCTGTTGACTGTTATTCAGAGTTCCATCACAGACCTTTAAAAGTGAGATTAAAATTATAATGGAACTAGAGAATCATTTTATAAACTGATTGACCATTTATCCGCTGTCAGACAATTCTGTTGTAAATGCAGATGCTTTTCTTCCTCACGGCTTGCTGCTTTGCAGCTGCATGTGAAAAGGAGAAAGCACAGATGTTGACAAACGTTGAATATCCTTCCCCACCCTAAGGTTCTCTTTCTGTCTGGTTTTGGGAAGTCGGATGTTTGTTTTCTTCTTTGCTTTTCCTGAAGCAGTTTTAGGAAAATTCCCCATTCAGAAGGTACAGGAGGAAAAAAAAATCTAACATACCTAACTTTAATCAAATGGAAGAAATAAAATAACATTTGATACGAATTTCTTCCATATCAAAGCAGTAACAGACGGAAGGCTAATAGAAACCTTTATTTGTGAATTTGCCAAAAATACCTGAGTAGCCTGTGGTCATTTTGTCTTTCAGTTGAGTCTGTTAAAGTAGAACATCTAAATAGTGTCAAGCTAAGTCAACACTTGGGTATGATATTTTCAAGGATGGCATCCTCAGATTGGATGACACGGGTGATAAAGTGGCTGTGTGTAGAAACCAGGGTACAAAGATTGTAGCAGCCCTATTTCAGCATCTGCTAGTCATCTGTCAGGATAATGCATGCAAGAAGTAGACAGAGGAAAATGTTCTAGCCAGCTTTAGGAGAATATGCAAACAAATATAATTGACTCTCGCCGTTAGCCATGATGAAAAGAAGCGTGTAGACTTTAGAGAAGAAATTGTCCCTAAAAAAGGCAATTCTTTTTTTATAGGTTCATGCTTGACCTATGTCGTGGTTGGAAGCATTTCTGCCCCTTGTTTATGCTTTAATGTCTGCCTTCCTGTTTTGCTCGCTGTCTTTATTGTGTCACCAGGGTGTTCAACTAGTCTTGAGCATCCTATTTCTTTCTTCTTGGCATAGTGGGGAATTGTAGTTTATGCTTCTGTCCTTGCAGATGTTGGGAGGCAGCCCTGGATGTGAAATGCTAGTGAGACTTCGGGTATCAAAATTAAAATAAACAAGGTTGTCTAGGGTGATCATGACCCTCTTGCTGAGTCATCTGAGAGTTTGTTTCATAGTGTTATCATTTATAGTAAGTAAATATGAGGCTACAAATCCGTTTTGCCATTTGTAAAGGCTTTGCTTGAGCTATCTGGCTATTCCAGCATAGCAACTGTGGTCCTCTGTTTATTGCCTTATGTTTAGTAAATATTTTCTTTTCCTCAGTATCAGTCAAAATTGACTGAAGCCTTATTCATTTTGAAAGAAGGCACAGTTAGCATCCGTGAGCATCAGGGAAGAGGCGCTTGAACTTCCAGGGGATTCCGTGAGAGACGGCTGTGCTCAGTGTTTTCCAGTGTCAGGCTTCAGGGCCACAGGTGCTGCTGGAGCTGTGAAATGTGCGTGCCATGGGTGTGCGAGCACCACTTCCCTCATGGGCTTATACAGTATTGACTTGTTTCATTCTTGATTTAGCCTACAGGAAGCCGAATCTTGAATTTCAGTGTTTGTTTCTGCAGGAGAGAGCAAGATGAAGAGCCAAGATCAATACTGCTTGCAAAACCAGAGCAAGTCAAACAGACTTACGCTTTTGTAGGATCATGCCCTAGTCAACAAACACTCCTATATAAAGTGGTAGATAATGCCTGATTGTTCGGAAAAGCTTGCTACAATTCATTGTACAAATATTTTTGTACAAAAATAGAATTCTTTGCCCGAGACACGAGAAGGAATGGTTTCTTGCAGTGCAGCTTCTTGGTCTGTCACAGATGTAGTCTTCTGGCATCGGAAACAAACCCAAGAAGAGATGCAGAGTTTCTGGCTGTTGATTTGAACTGCATTGGAAGTAGATCATGAGATTTCTGTTGTGCTCATTTTGATTAAGAAGCGAACGCAGAGTTATCCTAATACATACAGCCGTAAGGTGCTGTCAGTGCGATGAATTCACTGTAGTAGATCAAGTGGTAATTAGCACTGGCTGTCAGGAGCTCTAGCTCTGGAGCTCTAGTGCTAGCTGGAACACGACTTCTACAGTAGGTACATAAATCAGCCAGAAAGCCTATTCTATAGCAAACACATGAATTGCTTGGCTGGGGACGTGCATGGGCCTGTTTTCCTAGAGCGCGCTGTATGCTGTCATACCTGCTGTCGGAGTCTCTGTCTGACTGCGTTTCCTTTTTCTTCTCTGCTTCAGTGAACATTAGCCCAATATATTCTATTCCACACGCCAAGTGTTGTGATAAATCCTGCAGGATCTCATGCTTTCTGGGTGAAATGTGCTTTCCCATTTTTGGTGGCGGGGGGAGGGAGGACATGGCTACCATGCTTCTACTTTGCGTTTTCGTTGCAAGTTAATCACAGGCTCTTCTGTTGTCATGTAGCGTCTGAGAGGACTTTTGTTGTAGCTGTTGCTCTTCAGCTTGAAGTAGTGATTGGAGGAGGAGGTTGTTAAGCAGGGCTGGTAGATCCTGCTGCTGGCTGGCACAGATGCTCACTGTAGATACTGGAATTGTTCTGATCAATGCTCTCCTGTTGTTGGCTTGATAGCCAGGCAAGGAGATAAACTTTCCCTCCCTTTTTATCTCCACAGCACTTCACAGAGTTCCTGGATGAGTTTTCACCCGATGTCCTAGGCCAGCTCTTGAATGATCCCTTCTTGTCTGAGAAGCATGAAATAATGGAGGTGGAACTGTCTCCGGCATCTCCAGCACCCCTCATCCAGGCTGAGCACAGCTACTCCCTCTGCGGGGACTCTCGCCCCCAGTCTCCCTTGACCCACATCTCGGCTGAGGACAACTTTAATGAAGGTAGTATGCGCTGAGCCCTCCCTCGTTTGTCATGATGATGCAGTCATGAAACGTTCCTGGTGGGGTGATGATACACTAAAGGGGCATGTGAATCCTCCTTGCTAATTGATATACCTTCAGTGAAATCACAGAAGGGATTTGTTTGTTTAAAGTCTGCAGGCATTGTGAATGAAGGAACTTTTCCATAGACAGGTAAATTGTGCTCAGCAGAAGTTACTGACTTGGCACTATAAACATTTTGAATTAGGAGTGCCCATCAAAAAGAAATGGGAGAAGGATCAGAAATACGCTCATTTCCACGTATCTGAATCTGTGGTTGTTGCAGATAAATGGAGACTGATAAACTGAATGAGTCAAATGAGGACTGGGAGAGGACTTTTTACAAGAGCCGGTAGTGATAGGACAAGGGGTAATGGGTATAAATTGAAATCAGGGAGGGTTAGATTAGATGTCAGGAAGAAATTCTTCACAGAGAGGGTGGTGAGGCACTCGAACAGGTTGCCCAGAGATGTTGTGGATGGCCCATCCCTGGATGTCTTCAAGGCCAGGCTGGATGTGGCTTTGAGCAACCTGACCTAGTGGAAGGTGTCCCTGCCCATGGCAGGGGGGTTGGAACTAGATGATTTTTAAGGTCCCTTCCAACCCAAACCGTTCTATGATTCTATGATTCTATGACCATGATGAAGTCTGGGAAATGTCGAACATGACATGTAAGCAAAGGGTGAGGTGGAGAAGGAAAGGGTGAGGGTGAGGTTTGTTTGTCTTGTGGAGAAAAGGCAAAGGGGACATCTTTTTGATGTCTATGGCTGTCTCATGAAAGGCTGCAGGGAAAACAAAGCTGGACTCCTCTGGGATACGCAGTGACAGCACAAGAGGTAATGGATGCAGATTGCAAGAATGGAAATTCCAGTTGAGTATTAGGAAAATCATATTCATCGTAGGAGTGGATCAGGCATTTGAACAGGTGTCCAGAGAGGCTGGGACGTCTTCATCCGTGGACATATTCAAAGCTGAGCTAGGCAAGGCCCTGAGCAACCTGACCCAGATTGGCCATACTCTGGATGAGGAGCTGGGCAAGATGGTTTCCAGAGGTCCCTTCAAAGCTACATAATTTCAGGTTTATTAAAAACAAACAAACCTTTTAAACTACACTTATTTTTCAGTAGTGAACGCCTGGAGCTTTCTGGTACGCCAGCATGAAAATCAGGTCATCTTATTTGCGTTTCTAAATACACTTGTAGGAATGTAACTTCAGGTCCTGCCCTCATCTTAAAACCTGTCTTTCTAGAGTCCTAGGGTGTTCTTTCCTTTTTAGAAAATAAAATATAAAAAAAAGGCAAAGAAAAGAATAATGCCCATCAAGAAGTTATTGGTGCTCTTGTAAAGACATAACTGCAATTTCATAGATTTTGTGGTTGCAGGAAATGTTGATACACAGAAAATGATTAAAAACCAACAGATTTTTTAGTGGTTATCTTTAATGCAGCAGTTATTAACATCTGGAGGGGAAAAAAGGGAAGTGCAGGAATGGTGGGAGGAAGAGATCCTACCTGCTGGTTCTGGCAGTAAGATGGCTGCTGGCAGGAATTGGAGTTCAAGGTAAAAGCTGGTTGTTGTCGGAGGAGCAAGGCCACGAATATCTGGGAACTATGAGGAATAATCACCATAGTAGACTTTCACTCCTAATAATTGGTTTATGTCCTCAGCATTAGCTTAATAGTGAAAAGCAGTAGACTACTAAGCTGCATCACAATAAAAGGGAAGGAGATTAGTGCTTATGTCTAAGCATTAACAAGCTAAGCTGTTTAGGAAGATCAACCAGGACATGGGTTTTCAAAGGCTGGCAGTTTTCTAGTCCAAAGCACTATCTTAAAACAAGATATGGTCTGTTAGAGATTTCACAAGAGGACAGCTAATAAAACCTGTGAGCAAGCTTTTCAGTGTGAGACATGGTTATTGGAGATGGTCTGGAAAGGCCATCTACATAAAGCCTTCCCATTATATATTTCCTAACTGTTTTATGTGAATGTCTTTAAATAAATACGTCCAGGAGATACTAGTTGTGGCAGGAGAAACAAGCACAAGAAGCTTTGGAAACCAAGCTTTTCTGGAAGTTAAAAGGGAGAAGCTTTCAAACTAGGCTGAAAGTGAGGGGAGTTTCCTTTGGGGAAAAATCCTGAAGAAATCCATACTGTTGAGACCACTGGGTAATTAATAGAGCTCTAGTCAAATGATGTTTAAAAAGCCAAAAAACATTTACAAGTGGGTTTAAAAATAGAAAATGAATGAGAAGCATTTCAACTTCTGTTCACTCTGCAGAGTGTTTCATAAGAGAGGAGGAGGAGGAGGAGTTGTTCTTGGTGTTTGGGATTTTATTTAATCTTAACCCTGGAATCACGCTCACGACCTTTCAATACCTGTCAACTTCAGAACAGTGAATCTCAGAGAAATACTTGAGGAAAATGCAGAATTATAGCTAACATGGCTAGCTGATAAATGTTCAAAGACATCGCCCTGATGATTCTTCAGTCCTTGGGTCTGTGTGAGCAGGAGAGGGGCATTTTGTGGATGGCAATACTGTAGGATTTGACACTGGAGATTGACAGCTCCTCTGTTTTTAGACAGTGGAGGTACACAGTGCTCCTGACAACTCCAGTGAATGCCAGTCCCCTTTGTGTTGTAAGGGCACAGATACTGGTATACCAGTGTCCTTTTGGGGAGCAGGAGGTACAGGGTGTGGAGCAGGAGGTCCATGTGCTCCAGCAGGTTTTCTTGCCGCTGGGGAACTGGGAGTGATTTTGTGGAGTGGCAGGGGCTGAGAAACGAGGCTGGCTGAGGGACTTACATAAAGAACATGCGGCAAATTTACATTCTCCCAATAACCACCCCACTGGGCAGTTTGTTGAGCTTTCACGGCTGTCTTGTTTTCATGGTTTTTCCATGGTGAGGCTACGTGATTCTGCAGGACCCTGCCCTGCGGGACTGGGAGTAGAAAGAGGCCAGTGAGGAGGCTCATGTGTGGCACGTGCCTGTGTGTGTGCACACATGCTACGGACACACGTGCTGTGGACCTGCATGCCTGTGGTCAGCACCAGTGCGAGGAGGAGGAGGATGGCACAGGGCAGTCAAACTAGGTCTGGATACCATTTCAGAGCTTTGCCCTTCACTCTAGAGACCTAAGGGTCTAGTGTTGTGCACAAAGCACGTGGCAAACAGGCTTCGTTCTTGTTTGGGGTGGAGCCAATGACATGATATTTCTTCTTTATCACTCTCAGTGGTTGTCCTGTCAATGAGCACTGGGCCTGTTGTTCCTCAGGGTGTGCAGAAATGCCACCCCCTCCTAGGCCGGTGGGTGTTTATGGGCAGGCAAAGACAGGGGGAGTGCAAGGTGGGGGGAAACCCAGGATTTTCTAGGGCCAGGCCCCTTAGCCCTTATAACTGGATTACGCTGACTTGGAAGTGGTGCCTGTTACGGGCCTTTTTGTCGCTGTCACACCAGCAGTTGCTCTGTTTGCACAACCTGGAGCTGCAAACTCCATTCAGGTGTTTCAGGTGCCATGTGCTAGTGTATGTCGAGATCCAAGCTGGCTCCCTGTGTCACTTCCGACTTGGTGCATGTTAATTGTGCAATGCTAATCGGCTGCTCAGCCCTTGGGTGCCATCTGTGTGGCAGGGGCGGGTGGCTGCCAAGCTCTGTGCCGGCCTGGCCTGCCAGTGAGTTGTGCACTGCCAGAGGGAGGCCGTCTGCGATGGACACACACACACAACAGGAGGTGGCTTGTGCCACATGGGGCTGGTGTCCTAAAGGTAAATGTACCTGCCCGCTTTTGAAAATAACCTTAACACCAGGAGTTTGTTTCTGTGGTGACAGGCCAGTTGAAGATGGCAGGGATGCAGGAATGACAGCTGCAGGTGAGTGGCCCATCTTGGTGCAGGGTCCTGACATGTTTGTGGGTCCAGGGTGACCCCAGCCTTTGGTCCCAGCCCTGTGGCGCTGTGGCCGGTGTGCTGCCACCAGGCCAGCCCCACATCGTGTCGCTCTGCTACCTGCCTTTCTGTCCTCTTCCTTCAGTCCATGCCAGCCTGTTGGAGGAGGGAATTGGATTTTGGGAGTTGTCTCAGTGTTCAATGACACCCAACATCTGCAGCAGTTTTCATCAATGTATGCACAACTGTGGGGTCCCAGAGCCCCAGAGTACGGAGAGGCTGAGAAAAAGACCCATCTTGTTAGGCACATGACCTCCCTTTCAGTGCCTTATTTCCATCTTCTGTTTTTTCCCTCACCAAGTCTCTGACAACTTTACTGGAAATGTTATTTAATGTTTCCTTTCAGCCGTTATGGTGGATTGAATGATCGCTCTGAGTCTGTATGCACCTTCTTTCCCACTGTTGCAGGGGAACAATTAACTTTGCTGTGAGTCGTTCTTGTTGGCCGCTACCCGGCAGTTAACGCAATTTCTACAATCTCTAAGTTGACCTATTCATGTAATTGTAAATTTTATATAAAGTTGTTTGGGTTTTTTTGTTTTTTTTGGGGGTTTTGTTTTGTTATGTTTTTTGGGTGCTAGAATTATAAAACGTGTCAAACTCACAAGGCTGGGTTTAACTATTCTAAGCCCTCTTGACCTCAAGGTTAGAACACGTTTTAAGTGTCCATAAGATCAAGGTCCCAACACTGGTTTTCCTCAGTTACTCTCTCTTCTGATTTCACTGTATTAAGACTGTTTCCCTAGCTTTCTGCAGAAGAACCTTTTGGAACAGTCGCAGCTTGTTGCTAGTGTGGAGTCTCTGAAGGCGTCAGTCACTAAATCTCCAGCTTATGAAAGCATTGGGAAGAGCAACTATTTTAAAGCACATGTGTATAAGATGTCTGGCATTTAGTTGTTTGAGTTTTCCTCCACTGAGAATCTGTTCTTATATTCAATTAAACTCTTAAGACTAAAGATACTAGAGAGAGAGAGATTTAGAGTCCTGACCTGCTTGCTTGCAGCTGGCCAACC